ATAAGTTTGAAACAGATCTTGTCACGGCTATACAGAATGGTTTTTTGGGAACAGACGATGATTTGAAGAAGGGTATTTATTAGTTCATCTATTCTTCTAATTTTATTCAAGATAATTGCCTTTCTTTTAATGTCTTTAATGCCTTTGATATCTTTGATATCATTAATATCTTTAATGCCTTAGATCCCCAGTTTCAAAATGATCCTTCAGGTTGTACTGCAGTTATGGCCATTGTTACACCAAATGGTGATATATACGTCGTAAGTTTCACGTTCCTGATGTGTTTATATTTCAAGATTAATGGTCTGATAATTCTATCTATTTAATTTTCGTTATATTAGGGAAATGCTGGAGATTCTCGTGCTGTTCTCAGCGAGGATGGAATAGCAATCCCGATGTCAGATGATCATAAGCCCGTTAATCAAGGTTTTTTGCTTATTTATTTTTGTTACCAAATAAGATATTTATAGTTATGGATTGGTACTTTGAAAATTTTCAAGTGGTCATAATCCTTTTCTTTTTTCAACGTTTATTTATAGACGAATCTAAACGAATTACAGACGCTGGTGGTTTTGTAGAATTTGGACGAGTTAATGGTAGGATGTTCGACAAATAATTGTTCAATGTTATTTATTATGCCTCATTCTTTTCCTCAAAGTATTGACATGGTTGCTTTCTCTCGTACAATAATGAGAGACTGTTGTTGGCTGTTTACGTTCGGATAATTATATATTTAATACACATGATGTCATCAACGCTCTTCTTTTTCTTGCGTTCTATAGGAAATTTGGCATTATCTCGTGCTCTTGGTGACTTTGAATTTAAGCAAAATCCAAACCTAGACGCAAAAAAACAAATCGTAACAGGTGAAAATCTATTCACGATTTATGTATTATTTTTATAATTATTTAAATTATTTAATTAAATATTTTTATTTTGTTTATTTTAAGCATATCCTGATGTTAAACAAAAAGATATTAAATTTGAATCTACAGAGTTTTTAGTCTTAGCCTGTGATGGTAAATTTTATTTCTTAATTTATTTCTCATTTTATAAAAAAAAAAAATTTATTACATAATATTAACTCATTTTTTTTTTATTTCTCCTTAAAAAAGGTATATGGGATTGTCTTACATCACAAGAAGTGGTTAGCTTTATTCGCAAAAACCTTTCTGAAAATAAAGATCTCAGGAAAGCTTGTGAAGATCTGATGGAACGCTGTTTAGCTAAAGATAGTGAACTTGGTGGTATTGGTTGTGATAATATGACTGTAATCATTGTTGGATTCCTCCATAATAAGACTGAAAAGGAATGGTATGAATGGATGGCATCAAGATATGGAGAAAAAGGTCCTGAATATAAAGATGAACCTAGATTACCAAAAGAAGACAGTAATTTAAACGGTGATAGTCTTGTTGATGAAGTGGAAGCATCGACAAATGAAGATGATCTTACACTTGATAATGCTCGAAGCGACAGCGTTGATACAAATGATACAAGTCGAAGCAATAGCAATGATAGTATTCGAAGCGATAGCACTGATAGTAGTAGCCCTAATACACCCGTTTCACAACAAACAGACAATAGGCCGCAAGCTAAAGGTTCTGAAAAAAAATGATAAACCTAAGATGACTATAGTTAATTAAATATAATCTTTGTTTTAGAAAGGATTATATCAGAGAAAATTATAATAAGGGTCAATCAAGTTTACAGCCAGTCTCTCTATAGTCTATATAGTCATAATATATCAAAGACCATTATAAGCAAAAATTTTAATTTGGAATAAATTGTTCTTGTAGAAAACAGATTTTTATGTAGATTTTCAAAGGGAGAAGGGCAGTTAATATATTTCAGACGGTGAGACTACAAAGGGTTTGGCTATGTTATTTTTAAAAAAAAATTATGTGTTGAAATTGTTTATTCAAAAAAAAGAGGCCGTCTTTGGACCTAGTTTCATATATAAAAAATTTTATTCATTCGTATAAAAAATTTTTTTGCTCATATTTTATGTAATTTTCTTTCGGCATTTAACGTATCATTAAATTTATGTAAATTATATATACTGTATAATCTTTTCTGTTAAATGATTCGCGCTCTAGCTCTCTTGACAGGATCTTATGTGTAGGTTTTTTCTTGCAATATTTTAATATATAGTATAGCATTATTGGCATTAGCATTAGAGCTTATCAGATATGTAATATATTTTTCTTTTAACTACGTATAAAGATCTTAATTTTTGATTTACGATACGTAGTAGTAGGTTATTAACTTGTTATAACCACATCCCATATTGTTACCATCACAGTATCTGCACATGCTGTACGTACGCACAGTACAGTACATACGTACATACATACATACCAGATACGTATTTCGTATACATATACGTTATCTATGAACGCCCACCCTATATCTGATATAAAATACGTACTGTACGTACGTATATACGTAATTTTGATATCGATATCAGATATATTCGTATTATATTTACGTAGGAATGAAATTGACGCATTACATATCACATTGATAATTACACTTTTTTTTTTAACTGAAGTAGCCAGAATCGGGTTAAATCTTAATATTCTTAAATATATCTTAAAATATTCAATCCCTCATTTCTATTAAATTTTATAAACTTAAAAATAAAAATGAAAAAATAATGGATAATACGTAGAAAATTTTCATTTATAGACATTAATTATCCTCGGAATGATGCAAGAAATTCACAAAAGGGATGAAACTATATCAACAATTACTCTTACCAATTACTTTAATATTTTTTAATATGATATATATGTGTATGATTCTTCTTTTTAACAACGCCCTTTCTTAAAATAATAATTTATGCATTTTATCTTTCATAATTCATCATGATATATGATAGACTTAGCCAAGTCGATCTTTTGAAAATCGGCTTAGCCAGATCTTTGTTAGGAAAATCAACAACCAAAAGTTCTGTGACGTGTTTAGGTAGTTGGCCTGCATTAACCTAATTTAGGCCGATGATCTTAATTGGCCGAAACGGAAAATTAAATTTTTTCAATTTTTTTTATGGGCATTAATTTTGTTTTGGCTGCGTCATAAGTTACGTCACAGCTCTTTTTGATCGCAAATAGAAAATCTGGGACAGGTTATGTCATCTCCGAATTCAAACTCAATATCTTGTATCAGGTACGATAACTCAACTAACAATCAATAAAAACATTAATTACGTTTTGACTGTATTATGAGGTTCAAACCGATCTGAACGCGAATTTTTTACTCAAATATTTAACGTTTATAATAATATAAGTTTCGAAAAACATGACTTAAATTTATATATGGTACATGTATAAAATAAAATATAATAAACCAATTTGGCTTTTATTTCTGATACGTATAAAAAGAAAATAAAATTATTTCTTGTTAACATTTTAGTATGCAATTTTTTTTTTATGTACTTATAGTTTTTCGCGTTTGTTCGTAGCTGCTGTCGTCAAAAAATGCCTTTTTTTTTTATTTTACTTTGGTCAATTTTCTTTTACAGAAGTTGCTTGAAGTGAATTTGTGTCCTATTACACAACTAATAAAGCGTTTGCATATGATATAGTGAATTAATTTTTTCCTATTGGGTATATTGCGAGCTTTTCTATAATTGCAAAATAAAACTTTCTAATGGAGTTTTCGCGGATCTTTATAACAATATTAAAATTGTCGGTTTCAATAGCATTTTTACTACAGTATTATATATGCAAATAAAATATTATTCAATTTTCAGTTTAGATCATTTTTATTATTATTATTATTATTATTATTATTACAATTATATATCGATATTATTATCTGTTATTATTATAATTTATTATATATACGTATAATGATGACGTTAGATCTTTAAAGTTACACAATAATGATAAGAAAACGACACAAGATCTAACGCGATTGGTTTTCATTCAAAATGTCCTATCCAACACTTTATAATACTGTCAAAAACAGTCGTTTTCTTTATGGCCTCTTGAAACCAGTTGCTAGCTTTTATGCTAATATCGCTGGATATAGGCAACTTGGTATGCATCTTATTATAGGAGGGATTTAACTATTGTGTTATTCCCGGAGAACATTTAAGTGTTTCTAAAGTTTTATTTTAAAATATAGGTTTAAGATATGACGATATCTCAAGTGACGATGGTGACATAACTAAGGAAGCGTTAAAACGTATATCGCCTAAGGAACAGGATCTTAGAACTTATCGAATTCGAAATGCTTTTCAATTATCCTTACAACATGATATTTTACCAAAAGAAAAATGGACAAAACCTGAAGATGTAGGTTTATTATACAATCCATTTTTTTTCGTAGTCTTAAAAAGAATATCGATACTATTTTAATCTTATTTAATCTTATTCTAATATAATTTAAGGATGTAAGATATCTTTCACCTCATATAGATGAGGTTGTAAAAGAAGAAGAAGAACGAGAAGCTTTCGATGCAATTAAAATTGTTCGCAAATAGCATAGGTAATTTCATTACTTCTGTTACACTACAAACTTTTAAAAATAACAAGTTAAAAAAAATATTATTATTTTAGACTTTAACTTTTGAAAAAAATATGTATTAGAATATTAAGCTATAAAAATAAATAAGGCCATATAAAATTAATTAATTAATTGGTTTTCATAATCCGGCCGGGTCAAATTTTGAAAATTTTTTATATGTTTTCATAAATTCTGTGTCTGTTGAAAAATTGCCAATGATAAGTTTTTGATGTCGGCTGACTTTGGCAACTTTTGATTCAGACTCGCGATTCGGTCATCAGGAATTTTTTAACTGCAGAATTTATGACCGTAATAACTGGGTAGAAAATACCGTTCCTTGATGGGATGAGAAAAAATCGATTTACGTACCATTTTTGATAGGGTTTTTAAAGGAACCTCGAGATAATTACAATGAGAATACTAAATTCATGACTCATGGTTAGTTAATCCATAACGTTGATTTCAACTTACCTAAATATTGGTCCTTAATACCTGATACCGTATCTACGCGAAGTAACGCCCATGGGCGTTATTCAAGACACTTAATTGAAGAGAGTTATAATTAATTAGCAAAGAATTTAACAAAAATGCTATGGTTGTATTTGGTTAAATTAATTGTCAGCTCTCTTTAAATTACATGTCTTCAAATAACGCCTGTAGGCGTTATTTCGCGCAAATACCGTATTTATCGGACGTGGGTGCCCCAGGTATTTATATATTGTACCCGGGTACTTCTGCACTGTATTCACTGTATTGAACAATATATTTTACTATATATACCATACTTATGTACCCGGGTATAAATCACCCGTCCAGCTCTTAAAACTGGTTGAGGGTACACATCATGGGGAGTACCCACGTCCGATAAATACGGTTTGGTGGGTTGGAAAAGCTTTTACTGATGACCGAAATCTAAATTTCTATGCAAACTATTTCCGATTTTTTAATTTTTATGCTACGTGTTGATCTAGTTGGGCAGTAATAATGGGCTGCAAATTTTACGCCATAGCTTTATATTTCGACAGTAGTGTAATTTTTAGAACACTATCTGGGTTGGATAAAATGTACCGTTCCATCAGGAACAATATTTTGCAGCCAGGTGAGTTTTAAAAAAAATTTTTTTATACAAATTTTATATATGAAATTTAAAAAAAGAGCCGGCTGGCTAGGTTTATTTAAATATTAATTCATTTTTGATTTTTCTTTTTATACCAATATATAAAATATTGAGTATTATATAATATAGTGTAAATTTAAAGTTAAGATTTGGACAAATGTAATTCTGTTTATATATAGTTATATTTGGATTATATTTTTTCTACTTTTTTATATATTTTTAATTTTTTAAAGGCTGGAACACTGTATAAAATATTATATACTGTATATATAGTAATACTGATAAAACAATAATATTTTATAAAATTTAATAAATAATTTATTTATGTATTTTATGCCAAAAAATATTAGTATTCACCTTCTATTTCTATATTTTTTGCTGAAAAAATAAGTTTTTACTAAAAAGGTGCAGTTTTAAGACTAATATGAAAGCTATATATACAGTAATAGACTAACTTTTCAATTACATAAGACTTTGGGGGTGTTTTAGACATTTTTACTTGTATATTTAATCTATATTTCTTAATTAGCCTTTGAGACATAGTACTTCAGATATAATATTATTCTTACAAATAGGTTATAAATACAGTATAGTAGCTAATATAACTAATGATCAATTGTATTTTTACTGTATACTGTATTATAAAATTTTTAAAAATATTTAAAATTCAAGTAATAAAATAATATTCGATTTACTATCGAATGATAAAAAAAACCCCCGAAATTAAAACTTTGAAAATCTATTAAAAATTGTTTTTTCGGCATCCTCCCTTTAATGAAGAAATACATAGAAAATTAAAAAAAAAACCCATAATTTTTGACCTTCGTTTATTTTATAGTTCAGTAATTAGAACCATGCGATTTTTATATAATTTGAATCGTCTCAATGAGACGAATCGAATGGTACTAATATAATTTGATTCTGAGTGCAGTTTTAACGGAATATAGCTGAACCTAAGTGCACCAAGTTACCCGCATCAGAATACCCGGCTCTCCTTTAATACGGTATATAATTTATACTGTATTAAAATCTTAGCAAGAAACTTTTTTATGTTACGTAGAACTTAAAAATATTGGTGTAAAATATTGAAAACTAGCAAAAATATACACCAAATCTTTGTAAATATCCGATATATCAATCAGCAATATAAAACATATTATTTTGATAGATCTTGAAGGTAAATTAATTAATTAATATGGGTAGAGCCGGGAATCAGTAGTAATAATTATAGTTAACTAGTATAAAGTTATAAAAAAGTATCTTGGTTGTAGCAATTTTCTAATATTCCGATTTTTCAGTTTGAATATCGCCAGAATCATATCCCTTCTATTAAAAGTAATTTGATTATTAACCATACTTTATTACCCTTAATTCAACAAAAAGAAGACCACATAGCATAGAATTTTATTTTGCCAAAACAAATTAAATTTGATAGATTGATGGCCTGAAAGATTATTAATGATTTAAATCCAAATATTGGCGTTAGCGTTAGCTTCAAAAATTTTCGGATCCTTGAACGCTAACTCTAAAAGATCACATGAATCGACACCGTTCCTAAACATTGAAATTTTAATAG